ATTATTGCCGCCGGAAACTTATAGTTTTCGAGATATTTGCATTTTAAGTTGAAATATTCACAAATTTCATTTCACAATTTCTCGATTTATGGTTATATTTTCTTTTATATTATGCACTTATTATACACTAACTTTTCACTTCACTGTTTCTACATATTTATTTTATATTAAATATTTAAGTATTTGCTTTAAATAAGCATTTAATTTTTACACAATTTTCGTAATATGAACAATAACAAATGGGTTCCATGTTGTCAGATAATAAGTGTTGCCATATCTATTATATATATAGATATATATAAATATATATATATATAAGCGAATTAAAATGAACAATAAAAGAGGATTATACCCCAAATACGTGAACTATTATTTTGTTCATTCCCTTCTATTGATAAATTATGGTATTGGATTGGCCAGGGTTATTTTTTTGAAGCGCGGCCGAAGGCCGCCAGTGCAGAAAGAAGTTTGACGTGATTGAATTATGAACACCCCGGTGTTGGACCGACCAGGGTTATTTTTTTGAAGCGCGGCCGAAGGCCGCCAGTGCAGATAGGAGTTTGACGCGATTGAATTATCAACACCCCGGTGTTGGACCGACCAGGGTTATTTTTTTGAAGCGCGGCCGAAGGCCGCCAGTGCAGAAAGAAGTTTGACGCGATTGAATTATGAACACCCCGGTGTTGGACAGACCAAGGTTATTTTTTTGAAGCGCGGCCGAAGGCCGCCAGTGCAAATAAAAAATCTTTACAAAAAAAAAGCAATGTTAAAGAGAATATATCACTCTCTATAAACTTCAATTTTTATTAAGGATAATTATAATAAGTGAAGATTTTGAAAATTTGATATATGAATACATATGGCGTAAAAATATAGTAAATCAGCATCATGATCCATTTGTGAAATTATCAGATGCAATAAAACATACGTTTAAGCCATAAAACCTTTTTCTTTTATTAAAAGGAAAATTAAGTTCATAATATTTTGTAGAGGGTGATTGGATTTTTTATTTATTTTCATTGCTTTCATCAGTTTGGATATGGCAACACTTATTATCTGACAACATGGAACCCATTTGTTATGGTTCATATTACGAAAATTGTGTAAAAATTAAATGCTTATTTAAAACAAATACTTAAATATTTAATATAAAATCAATATATAGAAACATTGTATTGAAGTGTTAGTGTGTAATAAGTGCATAATATAAAAGAAAAGATAACCATAAATCGAGAAATTGTAAAATGAAATTTGTGAATATTTCAACTTAAAATGCAAATATCTCGAAAACTATAAGTTTCCGGCGGCAATAATATTCGAGATCTGGAGAATCTCCTCTATCCAACCATACCCCTCTTATCCCTGAAATCGTGGGATGCTAAACTAAAGTTTTCCCGAACCTCCTCATATATGCATGTATACATATGTATTCTATCATTCTTGATCCATACAATATACCTACTCATTTTGATGTTTATTTTCATGTGCACATCTACTTACATACATATGATTTCGCCTATTTCCTTTCATTCATGGGCCCATTTTAGTTCGTTTTGATACCACCAGCATATTTCAACTAGCAATGCAGAATTATGCACTGTAGTACACTAATATAAATTTGCTTACGTATTATTTAAAAAAAATTGATATTACTTTAAATACGACACAAAATAATTAGTATTCAATCATTACTTCGATATTATTCTACAAAATTATTGAAAAGGATAATATTCACAAATAACACAACCAACATGCCTAAATTAAATTGAATAAAATATTCGAGTGATGCCACCTTATTTTGTTCAAAATAACAATCTTCGACTCATTGATTTGCCACTCGATATTTTTAAAATTATTATAAGGAAGTATTTGGAAACTGTTAAAGCTGTGTGCAAAAATGTTGAAAATTGAAAATTTTCAAATCGAATTATTCTCATAGATGTCTTCACAGCTATAAAGTTGCGGATTTAAATTTTTTACATCAAAAAACAGTATCCTAATTTTAATATTGGTTGGGATTGAGAATAGCAGCCCCAGAATTCGGGATTAAAATGGGTATGTACGGATAGAGGAAGTCCTCCAGATTAAAAAAAATATATACTCGTTTACATAGTTGCCGCTAACTTATGCTTTTCCGTATGTATTAATTTTTTTTCTTATTTGGTTAGTGCCTCTATTCAAGTGAATCAATAAATGAGCACTTTATACAGCTGCTTAAATTTTACAGGTTCGAAATACCATGAACTGAAATAATATTTCGATGTGTGTATATTTTAGAATACATATATAGTCATTCTAATCAGCATTTCCTTTCATAAGTGCATCTAATTAAGTGAACATGACTGTATATTCGCCATAAAGTCAATCAGAAGATTGAAAATACTTATAGTTAAAGTATGGAGGCTGGAGTAATGCATAATGCCGATTTCATGCATTTTCCAAATTACACTACAGTATGTTCCAAGATAATAAGTGTCCTAAATTTTGTTATGATATTTCACTTATTGACGAAGATATACTGCAGAAAATCAACCGAAACTCCGAAAACTAATACGTTACCCAGCAAGGCTCAACTACCGCAACATTTATACATTAAAAAGATTGGCATCAAAACTAATCCATGCACACGTTGCATGTTCATTAACCCTATTCTTAAGAAACGAAGAATTGAACATACATAAGATTTTCGAGTAGTTTTGTCAATTGTTAAGGTTTTTGTAAACTAAACTCATAGAAACTTTAACATAAATCTGTGGTTTATCTATTGTAATAATATAAGAGTCTAAGTGAATTTAAAATGGTGTCATATGGTGAATGGGATGTGGTTGTAATCTGATATCACTCATATTCACACTGGAACGTAAGGATGTCAAGTTAATGTCATTTAACAAATTTGAAAGTAATACTCACTTGTCAAGGAATACGTGTACCGCGATCTCTCATAGTTTTAGGTGTTAAAAACACACTTTTCGTGAACAAAACCTTAATACTTATTTTTGTTATACTAAACAAGTACTCTTCAAAAAATACTAAAATCGAGTAAAAATTTTATAAATCTAAAACATATGTGTTTATACATATATGTATGTATGTTTTTAGTATTTTAGAATCCATTTATTAGTGCTTCTAAATTCTATTGCCAGTTGTACTAAACGTTCGAATATTCTGTTAAAAAAGTAGTCAATAAGTTTTCAAAACTCAGTATTGATAATTTTTGTTCCTTTTAAGCTCCATATCCAAATCAGCTAATTGCTGCAGAAAACCCTCATTTGGTCGAATTTCGCGACGCATACGAACTTTTCGTATCGCGTCTGAGGCGGTCATTTTGCGGCAAATCATCAGGTAAGCAAGTACGCATGTGGCGGACCTTGACATGCCCACCAAGCAATGAACGAGTATTTTCCCTAGAATAAGCAAAGTAGTTAGTTGCATAGGCAAATCATGTATTTGGTTTTATTCACCTCCACTGCTGATGGCGCTGTCAATAAACTTCGCTGCGACATAAAAGTATCGGGATATGTCTGTTGTAGGTGCGTCAACCATTGGAAAGCCCATATATCTGAAAATAGTATCTTTGTTGTTTCTTCTACAATGTTGTTATATTTTGTTTATCAAAAATAGGGATTTGTGATAAAAAAAAGGTTGTAGATCGATAAACCAACAAAGCCATACAATTTTAATTAATTTCGATATATAATAATTTTAACAAGAGTTGTTTATTAGTATATACTAAATACATACATACATATGTGCTAAATTTATTATGATTAATTATTTTATTAATTAATTTTTTGTGGGTTCTGATAGCAAATTATAGACCCATAACGAATACGCTTCAATGCATTTTTATTTTTTGCTAGATTTTCAAATTTTTCGACAAATAATCACATCTGCCAAAATAAAATTTTTGACAATGCGTAAAATATATAATATATATATTTTTTAATTATGTATGATGTATCAAATATTATTCCATGGCATCCATGCCTACCCAAATGTAGCGGTATTTATTGTGAATTCGAAAATTGTGGCCAAGCTGTTGCCATTAACGGTAAATTTATTTGCCTTATTTTGGCTGTGTGCTTGTATTTTTGTAAATACTATATGAAAATGTTATTGTTACCCATTTGTGAAAATTACAAAAATTTCGAGAATTTTCGCATTTCATATGATTTAACAATTATGAAAAAATATAATATAATATATCACGACACAGTGAAATTAAGAATGAGAAGAGGCAACATAAAAAACTGTCAATGGCCTATAAATACTAAACAGTTTTCATATACTACGTACTTAACCAATTAACAAGTTAAATTTTTTTATTTAAAAAAATTAAAATGATGTTTTAGTAAACGCATCTTTTTTGGTCGTTAGTCACTACCTATGATCAAACATTAAAATTATTATTATGTGTATTTGTTTGATTAGTTAACTAAACTCTGATCATTGTTTGTGACTAACCTTCTTAGTCACCTAAAAATGATCATTTAAACAAACCTTATGCTTGGCATATCGCGATAGTAACTATGTCCAGTGTCCACTTGACCGTAGCGGCAACCCTCAGCCGCATTGAGCACATGTGTAATGCCCATCATTCGTAGAAATGATTTGTTTTTTGCCGCAGCTCTATAATAAAGAAAATATAATAATATTGTCATGTTCAGAACATAAAATAGTATAAGCGTCATATATTATTATAATCGATTATAAATGCTTTAATAACAATTATTTGTAATACATATGGGCATTATTAAACTTATAAAATAGATAATTATTTAACAACAGGGGGAGGGTATAGAATGAGGATTTTTTATTGTATATTTTGAGAAAAAATTAATTTCCTTTTACCATATGTATATTTTTTTAACGTTGTATTGCTCGCTTACATACATACTTACATACATACATGAGATTATAGAGATTATTACATTGTCGAATTGAAATAAAATAAATAATTACTTAAATTTCCACCTAAGGTATATATTTGTAATCTAGTAAGTTTCTCGGTAATTCGATTGTAAGAAGTTTTAGGCATTAAGTAGTATTCCAAAATTTCGTAAGAAGCATATACTACATATGTACAGTTACTGATAATAAAATAAAACTTAATAGATGGTTCCGAAACATTTATAATAAATATAAATTATTTGTCCGATAAATTTCGGATACGTTTTGCCTGTAATCGATTCCTACAATATTTATCTTTTAAAACACTATGTTGGTTAGCTTTGTGGTCAAATTGAATAAAAGTATGCATTTGTCACGACAAAAAAATAGAATTAAGGAATAAAATTATCAATTGTAGGCGTTATTTAGTAAAAAAGTATATTGTAAGATATTTGTTAAAACTCGACATTTTCTTACAATTAAATGTTATTCGTAGAAGGCTTATAAAAATTGCGAAATAACAGATATACCCAAAGGAAATTTCAAAAACTATAAAAAGATCCTGAAAATATGTGTTTACTGCTTTGAAACCTCCAAAAAATGAAAATTGAGAGACTGTCACGAAAAACGACGTCTCAGGATGTAAGATCCCTTGGTTCGATGAATCTAAAATAAATATGGTAGGTAGCAATAGAAAAGATTGTGTTCGACGTCCGAAGAATACTGAAATGAATCACCGACGAAGCCTTTCAAACACGGGGGTGGTAATATCAAGATATGGGTATTATGTTCGTGGTACGGAGTTGAACCCCTGTTTTGGATTTACGGAGTCATGGACGGGAAAACTTTAGTATACCGTCCCAGGCTTTCGGGGATAAAATGGGTATGGGCGGATAGAGGAGATCCTCCAGATCAAGAAAATATACAGATATAGCCGCGGGAAACTTATAGTTGTCGAGATATTTACGTTTAAAGTTGAAAATTTCAACTATTTGTTTAAAATGAAATGAAAATAAAAGGTTTAAAATTAATTATACACTTATATTTTTCACTTTTATATCCATTAACACTTGACTAATTCGTTTTTAGAAATTTTTTTTATATTAGATACTGCAAAAATAGCTTTATTTCCATATTTAAATCATTCTTCAATTTTATTAATTTTGACAATAACAAAATGGTTGGCGTTTCCCGCGGAACATGCCGTTTGTTTGGTAGTTCCAGCATAACCATACCTTGAGTGTAGTCGAGACTTGGGTACAGGATCAAGGAATCGACGTTATGACTTGGCCGGCGCAATCTCCAGATCTAAATCCTATAAAAACCTGTGGAAGATTGTAAAGGAAAAGTTGGAGGAATTATGGAAAAAAGTCCAAAAAGCGGGGTATTCAATAACAAATTCAATCTGTAAAGCTCTAGTGAAATCTATCCCGAAAAGGTGCGCTGCGGTACTCGCAAATAAAGGTTTTACAACAAATTTCTAACTTATATGCATTTTTATACTCTCGCAACCTGTTGCTACAGAGTATAATAGTTTTGTTCACCTAACGGTTGTTTGTATCACCTAAAATTAATCGAGTTAGATATAGGGTTATATATATATAAATGATCAGGATGAAGAGACGAGTTGAAATCCGGGTGACTGTCTGTCCGTCCGTCCGTCTGTCCGTCCGTCCGTCTGTCCGTCCGTCCGTGCAAGCTCTAACTTGAGTAAAAATTGAGATATCTTTATGAAACTTGGTAGACATGTTTCATGGTACCGTGAGACGGTTGGTATTGCAGATGGCCGTAATCGGACCACTGCCACGCCCACAAAACGCCATTAATCAAAAACAAATAACTTGCCATAACTAAGCTCCGCAATAAGATACAAGACTGTTATTTGGTACACAGGATCACATTACGGAGGGGCATCTGCAGTTAAAATTTTTTTTTAAAAAGTGGGCGTGGTCCCGCCTCTAATAGGTTTAATGTGCATATCTCCTAAACCGCTAATGCTATAATAACAAAATTCACTGGAAGCAAATGTTTTTAGCACTTCTATTGACGGTGTGAAAATAGTTGAAATCGGGTGGCAACTCCGCCCACTCCCCATATAACGGTACTGTTAAAAACTACTAAAAGCGCGATAAATTTTATCTCTGAGATGGTATAAGATGACTTTATAGGAACCGCGTTCAAAATTAGTCAGTGGGCGTGGCACAGCACACTTTTAGGTGAAACCCCATATCTTGAGATCTGCTCAACCGATTTCAACCAAATTCAGTGCATAACGTTCTTTTTATGTTTCTATGTCATAGTGCGAAAATGGGCGAAATCAGACTACAACCACGCCTAATTCCCATGAAACACCATTTTCAATTCCATCTGATTCTTTCACTTTCCACTATGCATATCAAGCAACAATGATTATATCGGGGTAAAACTTTGCGTGAATAATACGTTTAAAGTATGCCACCTTGTGACCAAAAATTGTCTAAATCGAACCAAAACTGTTCAAGCCCCTAAGTACTAAATATGTGGACCCCAGTGCCTATAGTTGACCTTCTACCGAAAATATCAGTCAATCCACAAAGAAATCTCAAACGAGTATACCATTTGACTTTGCGAGAGTATAAAATGTTCGGTTACATCCGAACTTAGCCCTTCCTTACTTGTTAAATTAAATTTCTACTGTTTACGAATTTTGGTTCCATGATTATATTTTATTGTCAATTGAAGTTCCTTCAAATGTGTTCTGCTGATAATACTTAAATTTTTATTAAGTCATTTTTCCTTTTGAAATGTTTAAAATAAATTTTAATAACTATAAAAAGTAATTGTTTCCTTTTAAGAACTGTGGTAGCACTTTGAAATAGTTGTGAATAAAATTTTGATTCCAGTTTATTGTCACTAACTGTATTTACATATACATGTTCCCATTTTGGAGTTTAATTGATTTATTGGATTTAAATAGAAATCTAAGCCGAATTAAACTTGACAATTTTGTCACCAAGCTTTAATCATACGAAGATCGATGTGGAATATTAGAGTTCACTTCGGCGCATGTTTCCATATCCGCTGTCAGTGGAGGCAATAACTTGAGTAATAATTCAGAAAGTAATTTGATTAAATGCGTACCCAATAAAAATACGGTTTTTTAATAAATGTGCTAACATTTAATACATAAATTTAAACAAATAGTGTCATTTAGCATCTTCTTCTAATCTCCATGTACTGAATATGAGAATATTAGTTTGCGGAATATTTAAGCAAAGTTAGGTGAGCATATTTCGCTTAACACACAAATTGAATGTAAATGAAATTTTAGGTAAGTACATATTTAGGCATTAACATTATATTAACACCCTTATAAGAAAACGTCTCCGTAATGCAATATTTTGCATTTCTTTTTTATTGACGAGAAAAAAATTAAAATTCTAGAAGGCTTTATTGAAACTACCAAAAAATTAAATTGTGCAGTAAGAAGCTTTCATTGGACATGAACAACGTAAAACTAATTGTGATGTACGGACCAATTATATATTTACATTACTGGATGTACGATGAATGAAATGTGACAGTAGATACAAACATTTCAGCAGACTCTTTTTGAAATAAATTCAATTCATCTATTATCGGTAGCTTACAACATTCACAGAAACAGAATTTAGACATAAATATAATTTATTTTCACATTACTACTTACACATCACCAATGTAAATACCCGGATATACTTCATCACAGTCAACATCATGTAAGGCGCATTCTGTTCTTCGTAGCCCTGTCAGGTTCCTGCAAGGTGTCATTGAATAATATAAGACTCTTTGCAAATGACGGCCTGTTGTTTGGTCTGAATTATCCAATCGACTCTGTGGCTTTAAAATAAACAATATTGAAGCCGTTCAATTTAATGCAAGTATAATTTGAATGTGAATAGTCTGTCCTTAAATAGAACATGTTGAAAAATTAATGTATGGGAAATACATTAGACACAAATGTATACTTATATACACTATTTACCAATTGTGTTATTTCATTCATGTTATAATCCAATACATATGTATAAATATATATTCATAATCGAACATGTAACGCCGAAAGTCAGTATCCTTTACTAGTGCAGTGGCACACCGAATACGAGTTTTAGCATTAAATTACCTTATACAAAAAGCACCGGCTTACTTAAGCAGTTTCTAAAATTTTTTATAAAATACCTTAATATAGTAAATCAAACACAACTAATATATTTATCCGTAAAACTCATTGGCTGACATTCATACATATATGTATGTATTAATTGTCAAATATTCAAATAATTATAATTATATAGATAAGTGAGATATAGGAACATTAATATTATATATCAGTATACCTTCTTAACTCAAAGAAACTCGATTTGTACTAAAATTTTAATCAAAACCTATATTCACCTAAATATAACCAATTCTTACGGAGAAAAAAGTCGGTCGGTCATTTCTTAGAGGCTTAAATTAGAGAACTTTCGTACCTATTTACTTACTTTCTTTGTGTTAACTGTAATTTAGTGGTAAGGTTGCTTTAATAATATAAAAATTGTACATAGAATGCTATAAAAAAGGTTTTTTGTTATTTTTTGTAAAGGTGCGTTAATAAAATAAAGAAGTGTCCATATAATACTATAAAAAATGTTTTTAATCCGTTTTACTCAAAAAATACTTTAACCTATATCGGTATACAAGTAGATGTTTATTGATTTATCTATCATATTCACTGTTCAAATTAATTGGTGCGATAGAGATCATTACTTTCGGCATATATGTTTAACGGCTGATATGGAATTATTTCTTAAATTTTTGTTACAATTTCTTTATTGAGTTTTGATTTATTTTTAGTGAAATAAAATATTTTGATATTAAACAGAAGTACCTTATACGGAAGTGGTCATTTTGGTTAAATTTTGCGTTTTCACGCAATCTGATAGTTTATGAAAGATTATATTACGTAGTTCTCAAAATATATAGGTAAATATATTTCCACTTTTACGTTTGAGTACGAGACATCTTAATAAAACTTTGCTTATCAAAATTTAGAGATATTAATGAATATGTAAATTATTGTTAATTAAGTCGCCTTTTAGGAATTTTGTATAATAAAGTTTTCTAGACCTTCGGAATACAAGCTTTTCTTTATTTACTTTTTTTTAAGTATGTTGTTTGTACTATAATGAACGCGAATACAATAATGCTCTACTACAAGTATATCCTTTTTTTCAAAGTGGAGTATATTTTCCCCTCTTTTACCTAATTTCTTTTTATTGATGTACTATGTATACATTGCTCTTGCTAAAAATTCTATGCTTAGCACATTTTGTTTGTGAGGCAGAAAGCGAAAGGAACGTATAAAAATATAAACAATTTATTTTGTTTCTTTAAAGTTTTCAAGACTTACATACACATTATTTTAAATTGATACACCTAACAGTGTCTAAATTTATTTCATAATGAAAATGGCCGTTGGCAAATATCCAAAATATTTTCTAAATAAGAATTCCTGACACCAGACTATTTATATTTGGTGAGTGTGCTAAAAAAAAATAAAGTTAATACATAAGTCTAACGACCAACGAGAATTCATGGTCAAAACTATAAACATATAAATATGTATTGTATATGTACCATACGAGTATATGAATCATTTAGGAAAGTGATTCTGGCTTCAACTGAGCAATGTCGAATTGTATTAAATGTATGTAATATTCCATGTTTCCGACGAAATTCATTCCGTATTATTTGCTAATTTTATATTTTCGTAATCTTTTTGACAAATTGCAATATGTTTGCTCACTTACTAATTTTTGTAACAGCATAAAAGCATCGCAATGGAAAGATGAAAAAATTAGTTCCCTGTATAAAGAAATGTATGGTAAAAAACTCTTTACAAATGTGTATATGTAAGTTCTTCCAGAATCGGAATTTAGGTACTATACTAATTTCGAACTAGATCCGGGCTTTTAATATATTCATTTAAATTTAAATTTGCCCATATGCTATAGTAAATATATATTACTATCATATAGTATTTTTTTTTCAGTTTCGTTAATTTCTTGCAAACATTATATTTTATCTATACATTTTTTCAAAGCTGCTTTGTTTTATTCCCAAACATTGCATTGAATACACACAAGCAAAGAAAATATAAAAATATACCTGGTAATACAACGGACTGTATCTTTCCCCAATATTGGTGCTATACTTGTCATTGGGGGGCTGAAAATTGTATATTTTTTATATAAATATATACATAGGTAATTGTACGCATTATATATAAATATCTATGTACAGAGTATATATGTACATAAGTATGTTGTCATTGATTTACATATATTATTATGGCATGCATTTTAAGGCGTGGAACTATAAGAATCTCTACTTATGAGAATTCGATTTAGCTTCGATGAAATTGCCTCCCACTCATAAAGCAAGCCAGTAAGAAAATGTTGTTTTTAGTAATCACATCATATCAACACTTGAAAATTAATCGCTAACATTTTTATTTTCACGTTCCAAAACTATTAAAATGAAAACAAAAAACATCAAAGCAAATACGTCGAATCTCGCTTGTTTACACTTGTGTCTTAACAGCTGTTTCTTCATATGGCAGTAGCTATTTTCTGCTAGTTGAAATTTCACTAGCAGAAACTAGCGTTCTCTCAGCTTTTTACGCTCTCAACATATGCTTTCTTCTGTTAGTTTCTGTTAGTTTGATTTTCCAGCAGAAACTTTGCTAGTGATATTTAGCAGTTATGCAAAAAACTTTGTATTACAGTTATTTAACGTTTTAGTTGCAATCCACAAAAATGGATACACATTACCATGTGTGGAATACACATCAATGTTAAAGCTTTTAATCTAGAAATAATAATAAATTAACAATATTCATTCAATATGTTAATTGGTTAGTTTGTAGGCGGTAATTCTTTTATTAAAAATTAAAAAATAATACATATGAAAAGCTTTGTTATTTGCTGTTGATTTGGAACAAAGGGAAGGTTCTGACTAACGCAAACTAATAGAGACAAACGACAGCTATTGTTTACTACTATTCATATTTATTATTGATAATGTTATATCTGCGCATGTATTTGAGGAACCATACATACGTATGTATGTATGTTATTATATTTACCATAGCATGTATTTAGGGAACTATACATACGAATGTATGTATGTAATTATATTTACCATACCTATAAACTTTAGCCTTGCACAACATTGCTATTTTGCGGATTGTTGCTAAGTATATACCTGAACATAATAAATATTACATACATAAGTATGTAAGGTGAATATATACAAGGTGAGAGCAGCAGCACAAAAACAAGAACAATGATAGTAAGAAACACAACAAATTCACAAAAAACACATCAATTTCACGTACTCGTACATATGTATGTTTAAACATCTTAATCAAATGAAGAAAACTGACGTTCGCCTCCTAACAACTTCAATGAATTTGCGTTAAGTAAATGTAAAGAATTTTATATACATATGCACATACATACAACTTATATATAGCATATTCTTAGTGAATATGAGTATTTGAATATATTTCATTATTATTAGAACCAAGTTATAATTATTTTCCTTTCCAAAATGAATATTGAGGCTGTGTTTCACTTCACTAAACGTGATGCATGCACATTTCATGCATAAACGAGAATGTACATATGTATGTATATTTACGCATATGGAAAAATATGCATACATGCAATCAAATAAGTATTTCAACGTAAAAGATTATTTGTACCGTATATCTCCATGACATTTTGATGAATCTATTGTTGTTGGAGTTACTGATATAATTGGGATCGTTTCAATGATATTTCAATATGTCCTTGTATATCAATTGGTTATAATTTTTGTAAACACATATACATATGGACATATACTTCTATATTAAAGTAGTTACGATATATTTCTTTTCACACTTTTGAGTTTTATAGTGTTTGTTTCGGTTGGGTTATTGAAATTTATTAATTTATTAAAACACATCAAATTCTGATATGTCATTCACTTCTGCTTTTGCCACTCTATTATAAATCTTATTTGACGTTCTTATAGGTACTGCTTGCACATTAGCGATTTTCTTCACTTCAGGGAAAACGAAAGCTCTTTTGTGAATTTCATTCAACTCAAAGCTTTTGTAAATGGTTTTGAATACTTTTGCAAATACATACACACATGTATATATGTATGTGTATGTATGTGCAAATATATGGGGGGTATAACTTTTTTTACTCTCCCAACATGTGCCATTTTATCTCTATCATTGAATCATGTCTATAAAGAAAATGATACTAGTATAATTAGAGAAGGCAAATGAAATAACTTTAGTGAGAATAAAGTAGAGTAGAATTAAGATGAATCAATTACAAGTTGAGTGGATTATAAAGACGATTTAAAATAGTTGCAATGTCTCCAGAAATAACTAATTTTATTGTTACTAAAACTAAATAACTAACTAATATAACGGATGATAACCATGCTGAACCCCAAAAATGATAGAATTAGAGGTTACGCCAAGTTTTTACCGTTACTTCTCTTTGGTATGGTTTGTCGATTATTTATTATGTTCATTTGTGTTTATATAAAAATATAATCATCCTTATTGGTCATTATGTTGACTACAGATAAAAGTATTCCTTTAAAATTTACTCAAACACGACACATTTGCCAATTCATTTCACTAAATATTTTTATTAATTTATTAACGTCTGGTACAGGAATAAAAGGCCTGCTTGCTGGGGATTATTGCAAACTACATCAACAAAGGTTCTGGAGGTTATATTGGACATACGGCCAATACATATACAAATGAGGTATGAGGCAATGCTTACGGTCAGCTGGCTCATGATTATAGGCCATTGGAGCCAGGCTAGGCGTCACGACGGGAGTGGTATCATACTCGACCTTGTGAATGAATTCGGGTTAAACTGGCAATGCGGACCAATGATTCTGTTATTACAACAGTAGCGGACTTCCGTCGCGCCAATACTAAGTCTCATTGCGTTAAGTTATGCAAGCAGGCATTAGCTAGACTTCTAGTAGGTAACTCTGTGAATATCATCTGGGTACCCGGTCATATAGGAATAGAAGGAAATGAAAAGGCAGACCATTCAGCTCCTTCTAGAGTTGTTTAAAGCAATGGGCCCTAGAGTAACACCTCAGGTCTTGGAACACAAGCAACACAGAGCATACTACAAAGTTACTTTGGGGTTTGAAGGTGAACAGACAAAAAAGCTCCTACTTTTACGGGACCGCCAATTTTGACCGTGATAATTTAATTATATTATTCTATTATAAATAATTTCACAGATCTGTAATGTGAATAATAAATCTGTTGCGAAAGTTTTCCTTTCTTGCGTACTTCTCTATGTGATGTTTGAGAATAATAACCATTTCAGTAAATCCAGTAAATACCGTGAAAACTTTCAGCGATATTCGAAAGGTAAATTTAAATATCAATAACTTAATTATATTTGTGTTCGATGGCAAAAAGTTTCGAAACATGCTTTATGAAGAATCAAATTCGTAAAGACGGCGCCACACTGCCTTGATATGATGAGCCTTACAAGGTTTCTATTTGGTGTTATAAAAGTTATTATGATTGGTTAAGCGGTTTGGGAGGCAACTTCATGTGTACGAGGTTTGCATTTATATTCACCATTAAGATCTATACACTTTTACATGCGTTTGATCCAATTGTCGAAGCACTTCTGCCACTCTTATTGACGTGTCTCCAAAACATGCATTCTGAACGCATCAAATGCCTTTTCAGGTGTCGAAAAACGTTAATTTTTTACGTACGGTACGATTTATCACCTGTTACGATGTCATCATATTTCAAAGCACCACTATCGTATTTTTTAACATTGACCAATCGACACGAGCCTGTTTTCGAGCGATTGACAAATTATGTGGGATCCAACGTAAACACATTTTTTTTATAGTCAAATGTTCATGCAATATTTAATATATGCTGGTCGCCTATATGCCTATGGTTGTCCCTATCTTACGATGACGATCTTGTAATATCAATTTGCGCACAGCGTCAATAGTTTCCGGAACAACAACTGATTTTGGATGACCTTCAAGAAATTCGTCTTGGAGTGATCTACGACGTCGATTGAATTCACCTCGCTAAAGTTTTACATCGATGCACTGTTGCTAAGTTAATCAACGTCGAAAGTTGTAAACAATAATCGCCGTTTTTTGGTAGAGATGAATATTTTAAGTTACTGTAAGCAACACAAATAGCTCTTCTTAGTCAAAACGTTCTCAGTATGCATAACATCAAAAATGTCAACCTTTACGATAAAGTTATAAATTGCAAGACTGCAACCCTAGGGTTGCCAAATCCTGAAATATCAAAGGCAACCTACGTAGGCAAATACTTTATAGAAAACTTACACATACATATTCTAAGTATCTACATACAAGGTGCGTTCTAAAGTAAACAGTAAAAAAATAACAAAGTAAACTCTAGTGGGCGTTAGAATCTGCTATCCTTTATCGACTTCCAGTAAAAATTTCATGACATTTCATCTATTGGAAGTGAAGTTATTGCGTTTTATCCTTATTGCCTTATCGACGTGTTCGGCCCGAATATCGCGAAGATGGAAGTTGGCGTTTGTTGCACGATAATGCGCCGTCTCATCGATCGACGCTTGTGGCCGATTATTTGATCAAAAATCACATTTTAACAATCAACCACTCCCCGTATTCACCTGATATGGCACCGTGCGACTTCTATCTTTTCGGAAAAATGCATTTGCCGATGAAAGGAAAGCGTTATGCAGACGTGGAGGCCATTTAAAAGGTTTCCCCGGCATACTGGCGGCCATACCGGGCAACGAGCTAAAACACTCGTTCGACATGCTTTTGGACCGTGCAAAAAGCTGTATTAAAGCAGAAGGAGACTATTTTGAATAAAATTAATTGATTTTGCCGATAAAACCATTTGTTCTGTCTTTTTTAAAAGTCCTGTTTACTTTGGAAGGCACCTTGTATGTAAAAATGCGTATAGAATGGCACGCGTACTTAATACATTAAATTTACATCTGTTATCTCTCTCTACCTGAATAATATCCTTCCTATCTTATGGAGAGATGTAAAAGAATTGAAAAATATGCTTATGTATTTTTACATATATTACGCGAAATTTTATACCCATACCAAGTAAATATGTATGTGTGTTTGTTGACAATTAACCATACAGCTTGCTATTTACCAGTACAAGTATTCGTACTTTATGAATTTTGTTAACAAACTGGATTTTAAAGTTGTTTTGCCACACTACAGAAAAACTAAGAAAGAGAGTCAACTGGTTTATAAATTAACATGCTGGATACAATAAAAGTCTTCAAAAGTCGGTATCGTGGCCAAAGAAAAATAGTTTGTAGTCAGTGGTCGTACAGTGTAGTAGTACGAAAATACCATTTTTAATTACTATTTAAATTTATTGTGAATATATTTTTTAAATAAATACAAATATCAAAATGAAATATACGTTTTTGTATTTAACGTTTGGCACTTTGACGTGCATCGCAGCGGAAAGTAAGTTATTTGAAAATACTGTATAGTTATTTTTCAATTGTAATTTAAAATAATAGGAGTAGCATTTAATTGCTATTCAGAGAATTTTTTATTACATTCATATTTACATATTTACACACTAATTGGTGAGTGCATTTTTTTGTATGAGGAGAAAGTAAAAAGTCAGAAATGTATCTATTATTATATGTATGCATGGATTTGAATTTAAATTTACAAAATGTTATATCACCTTAAGCAATTCGTATTATTACGAAACTCAAATATTAACCTTAAAATAACAAACTTGTTTAGTCGTCCTCATTTTGCACAGTAACAAATAGTGGTTGTGATAAATATGCATATATGTATATACATACTCATATATATGTGGAAGTCAGAGTTTTAATGCACTGAATAAATTAGCATAATTACTCTCATGAAGATATAAATAATATTGAATATAATCATTGATACAAATACTCATTTGCATATTTAGGTTGCTTTCATACGAAAATCCAATAAAATATTGCATATACAACGACATAATAATAATGTATATATGTACACATGTACTCGTATTAAAATCGAAGAAGTGAAGTGAAAATGACTCTGCTAATATACTACATAAATACACATATTTAAGTTGCAATGTTGTATTAACCTATGTGCTTGAGAGATAAATATGTTGAAAGATAAATAGGAAGGGATTTTTTCATATGTAATCAGTTTTACTAGTATATCATGATGTACGTATATCAATATGTAAAATCATTGCAATTCACAAAATACATAAGTATATGTAATATATGTAATATATTACAATTGGATTGAATACAATATTTTTGCATTGTAGGTTAGTTTTTATTTTATTATTTTTATTTCTTTCTTTATTTCTTGCCATTCGAAACAAATTCTCATAGAACATGTAGTTGCTTCCTTACACTGATATTATAATTTTTTTCAAATAATAGTTTCAATGAAATATGTACACATTTTGCTTATTACTATTATTATTATTTACGTCACGGTTTTTAGATAGGTTCTGCTTCCTATGCTAAGAATTTGGAATAAAGTATCGGTATTTTAAGAAAATCATTTTTTTTTGCACGTAACTTTCATCTATCACATAAGCTTCATAAATAAATTATCTTAGTAAGATTGGCGTCCACTTCTATCACGGATGCGCATGAGATCTTCATTTAGAGTGTATTGCTGTTGCTTATAGTTATGAACTTTGGTTGTGATTGCAGATGATTGAGACGTGTCGTGCATATGTATGTCAAAGTTCAGACTATGGAGGCTAACAAAATTAAAATTGAAAGTAACTAAGTGAAATCGAAAAAACAGATCATTAAAGGCATCTGGCTACAATTAAAGTACTTTGGACTTGCGTCCAAAAATATTTCGTTGAATTGTTTTATGTGGAGGTTTTAAAAATGTTTTATTTTGAATGTTATTAGTTTAGTAGATACCCAACTGTTCATGTGAATTTAATAACGAACTACCACAGTAAATTGCGATATTCTCACCACATATTGAATATTGAACAACCTTATTTCTCGGTGAAATAATGGTTGGACTTCGCTTGTAGGTGTATCAAAAAAAAAAAATAAAATAATAAATAATAAAAAATTCTCTCAATACTGCAGTAATCCAAAGGCAGTAAAACATAGTTGTTATTAAATTAATGTGATTTAGTTTCGTCATACCACATTCAGCAATACCTTAATGAAATAATGTTTCAGTATAACATAAAATAATATTTATTTTTTTCTTAATTTATTTCAATTAAGTTGTTTTCCACATTATCAACATTGCGTATAAGTATTTATATCTATTTTTGTATGCTACTTCAATTTTTATTTAAGGTGCATTCCAATGTCCCAAACCTGAGGGCGAATATCCTGATGATGTTCAGTGTGATAAATACTATCAATGTAATGATGGCGTAGCAAAAGAAAAGCTATGTCCAGATGGCTTAGTGTTCGATCCTCTTAATAGACACATCAATAAGTGTGATCAACCTTTCAATGTAGATTGCGGTGACCGAACTGAATTGCGTAAGTATTAATTGTTATTTTAAGATCTAGGTAAACGAATCTTGCAAAATTCTGATCATTTACATATTTATTTATGCTTTTGAACGAAATCATAACTTCATTAATTTATAATAAACAGGAATTATTATATATGTATATACATATGTATGGACTTATGTGAAATGTATAATATTAAATATATTTTTGAGGTATTTTTATTCAAATAAAATAACTTTAAATTGCAGAAGAGCCAAAATCTTCTAAGTTTTGTCCTCGTAAACACGGATTTTTCGCACATCCTGATTCTTCTGTATGTGATATTTTTTACAATTGTATCGATGGAGATGCTTTAGAAATGAAATGCACTGTTGGATTACACTTTGATGAATTTGGTGGAACTTGTGTTTGGCCAGATACTGCGAAACGTGAAGGTTGCGAAGCACCACAAAGTAAGTAGCAACTTTTTCATAGTGATTGGAGTTTTTAATTCTTTTTAAATCTGCTGTACTACATACGTACGTAGCATAATAATCATATTTTCTATATATTTGTATTTTTAACTATTTCTCTTTTATTCAGAAAAATCTCCTACCGGATTTGTGTGTCCCAAGGATCGCCCAAAGAATGATGATAAAGGTCAGGTAGTTACTCATCCGAAGTTCCCCCATCCTACAGACTGTCAAAAATTCCATGTATGCTTAAATGGGGAAGATCCACGCGACCTAGCCTGTCAATTAGGCGAAGTCTACAATGAAGAAACGGAGATGTGTGATGCTCCTGAAAACGTTCCCGGTTGTGAAGATTGGTACAAGGATTCTGATGACAAAAAAGAATAACAATAGATTTTATAACACATACGTATGGCGATGTAAATATGTACATTTTATGTTCTACTCCAAGAACTGTGGTTATCTACTTTTACCAGACACTATGTATATGAACACTTTTTAAATTATGGGCCGAGTTTTTAGAAGTACAATATCTGGGGATATTGAATAAATAAGCCATATTTTTTTTAATCTAGAAATTCATAATTAAAATATTAAATTACTAAGATCGAATGGCTTTGCACCCATTATTAGGACTGTTTGTTATAGAATATCTACCTGATTTAAAATTAATATTTTCGACTACAAGAGTGAATGAATTTTTTTGCAGTGCAAGTTATGAGTGATCAATAAACTCAGGTAAGGATGTCAAGAAAACTATTACAATTTTGCTCGAATTTTCATCAAAAGTTGCAGGCAAAGATTAAAGGAATTATCCCTGATAAGCATATATCTTCGTATTATCCAATTGGTAGAAATGGAAGAAACGATCATATTAACGTAATTAGTAAAAGTAGGAGGACTCAAAATGTTAAATTAACTTTCGAGGATATCTTTCTATCTTAGAATGTCCACCCGGAGTAACCATTAAAATGAGAATTATATTATTTCTCATTTTTTAAGAATTAAATCCGTATAAGGCGTATTTAATCAGTGTTTCTTATTTAAGGAATACGCGAACCCACCATCTCATGTTGCATATATTAAAATTCTTATTGCGTTATTAGAGTTACAATGTTTGTATTTTTGAAGAAAAAATAATCTCAATATTTTCCATATCTACCCCACTACGAAAATATTTGGCTTCCATAAATTTAGAGTAGGTGATGAAATGTATGCCATCAATTCAATATATTAAATTTCACTTCATTTTTATAAAAGAAGCAAATATTGCGTACTTTCTTGTTTAATTGTTTGTAAAAATGTTAAGCTGTCGAATATTAAGAAACTCTAGCGGACATTGTTGGGTAACTAGAGGTTCGTGCAATAATATATGTGAAAAACTAGTTCCTAGAAAAAGCACACATGCCAAAAGTTTTTCTAAGGTATCAGCAATTAAAAAAACCACCATAGCAAATGACAGGAAAAATACTGCCCTTACAAAGACAATTCAGATTTATCGCTGGCAGCCTGGGAAAAAACCTCGACTTCAAACTTACCATATAGATCTACAGAAATGTGGAGTAATGGTTCTTGATGCCCTAATCAAAATTAAAAACGAAATGGATCAAACATTGTCTTTCAGACGTTCCTGCCGAGAAGGAATCTGTGGTTCATGTGCTATGAACATTGCGGGTATTAATTCCTTAGCGTGTACGAGTAAAATTGACAGAAATCCTTCACAAATATTAAAAATATATCCATTGCCACATATGTATGTGGTTCGAGATCTTGTTCCAGATTTAGGACACTTTTATGCTCAATACAGTTCAATTAAACCATGGCTTCAACGCAAGGATACTATTAAAGGCTCAATAGGAAAAGCACAGTACTTACAACATCTTGATGATCGTAAAAAATTAGACGGTCTTTATGAATGCATCCTCTGCGCTTGTTGCACATCGTCATGCCCATCATACTGGTGGAATGGAGATAGATATTTAGGACCAGCGGTTTTAATGCAAGTCTATCGATGGGTTATAGACTCTCGAGATAATGTTACTGAAGAACGCTTGAAGCAGATAAAAGACTCATTTAGTATTTATCGTTGCCACACTATTCTGAACTGTACAAATACCTGCCCAAAAGGGCTTAATCCTGGTAAAGCTATTATTAAGTTAAAGCAATTATTATGTGGTTTGAAATCGAAGCCAACTCCTTTGCTAGACACAATTAAGCTTCAGAAGTAGCTGAGCATTAATGAAAGAAAATTTTCCATATTTTCTTTTTTATCCCATTGTATGTTTGTTTTTGCAATAAGCAAACAGATACCATTTATGCTGAATCCCGGATATTTTTTGATAAGTAATAAATTATACAAGAATTATTTGATTTGATTATTAATCTATGTTTGTGTATATTTTATGTTTTTATCTTTTAAATTTTAGATTAAATAATATAATAAGTACAACAACTGTACTTATTGCTCACTCCTTGTTATTACGCTACTATTTAAATGTCTTTTTAATAACCATTTGAATAGTGAAAAGTAAGACACAGAATTTGTGTGATATAGTGATAATTATGATTTTGAGTAAAATGACAAATGCATAATTCATAAACTTTTCCATTGAAAAATATTTGTATTATCATTCTAAATTTAATTCTCTATTACTATTGTATTAAATAAATTATTATAATAGTATTTAATGTTTACCATAGCCACAGCAATACGTGGCCGGATATTCTAGTATGTTATATGTATTTACACATATGTATCTACGGGCATATTACCGGAATATTAGTAAAATGCTGTTGTCATTTATAAAGGAGAGCTTAATTGAGCATTACAGAAAATCAGTTAAATATATAACATATTCATAACTCCAAAAAACTTACTTATATATAAAATAGCGTAGAAGAAAATAATGTTTGTGAATTAAATTTACAGTTTTATCCATAAAAATAGAAATTTCCAAAGTTTTGCTTTTTTTTTTAAATTTGTATAGCTCAATTCAAAAGTTCAGTTCCACTTAGCTATTGATTATTCTACATCTAAGTATATATAAAAATTATGTGTCGTGTTTTATCCGGGATAAACTTCTAAGATACTGAACCAATTTTAGTGAAACTTACACACTGTTTCCAGTTTTTTCCGACTTAAAATATTATTTATGTTAAAAGTATTTATAGTATATTATAGCCACAGCAAAACAAGGTCTCAACACAATCTATTAGTGGTATAAAATAATATTTCCACTACTAAATTGATATTTATTATGCAATTTTTTCCGGGGATACCACCGCGGAGGAATACCTTCTTCTTACCGTTCGCACGACAGTCGGGTCTACGTAACCGGAACGGACCCGGATTTATTCCGGCCAAGGACTGTCAACTCGGCAGAATTCTGTCGCTACAACAACAACAATAACAACTTTCTTCTTAATTCCATGGACTCCAAATACATTATTGTCACACTTCTTCTGATGAAAAAAAAAACGATTGAAGCAACATTATTTTGTTCTCTAGGACAGTGGCGATTTTACTAACTGTGCTTGGATTATTTCGCAGACCTTTAGCTAGGCTTCACTACCTCTAATGGTGTACAACTTTTTAACGATATGTTTAGTTTTGCTGAAAGCTAGATATGGGATTGCAGAATTCTTACCCTGGCAAAGCCGAAACTGAGGGTGAATATCCAAATATCTTGTCGCCTTCGAAATAGTCTTTCATCTATCTTGTAAAACGACGGCCCTTTATTTTTGTAATTATGCAAAAGTCATGTCTGGCAAATATGGAGGCTGAGGCATCGTTACAGTATTGGTTTTGGCCAACAATTCACGAACAAGCTACGAGCTGTGCGCTTTTAACAAGAGAAAATCGCTAACCTCATAAAAACTCGTCTAACATTAGCAGCTTCTACAGGCAATGCAAGCAATGAATACAGCAAAAACTTCAGGGATATTATATATGTGTATAATGAACATAATAAAAAAATGTTGACAGATTGGATTCTCCAAACTCGCAAAATTTTATATTTAAAAAATCAAATTAATATCTATTGTTCCAATTCCTGTAATTATTTAGAATCAAAATTACATTCATAAATCGTTTCAATTACACAGCCCCGATTTATTTTGATAACAAAATCCTATTTAATATTTTCTATTGTATTTTAGAAACAAAAAAGAATTATGAAACCATCACATGTCGACATTTTCATAGTTTATTCAAACTTTATGTATGACTTTCAGTTTGAACATTCATATATTAATTTTATGTACCATTTTCTATGACCCTAACGATGCAGAGAAAAACAATCGATTTTATTCTGCAGCTCGGACAAGAGCCTCTGCACATTCAACAGCTATGGCTGCTTCCGCTTTAGCCTGAATAATAGTAAAATCGTTAATAAAAAATGTATTATAAAGAAACACATGAACATTCTTACTTCTTCACTGGAAGCAGAATTTAATTGTGATTGATATTGTGACAAGAGCTGCTTCGCTTCAGCAACGTCAATATCCTCGACCTTGTGCGCTTCTTCAGCCAAAACTTGAACAGATGAGTCTTCATTTACTGTTATTGAGCCACTTGATACAAAATATTTTGACGTTTTTCCATCGTTTTCAATGACTTGCACCACACCAGGCTTCAAAACGGCTGAAAAACAAATATTAAATTAAAATTACAAGTATAAGTTATTTTTGTTAGTTACTCTTACCTAAAGTGGGTACATGTTTTGCAAGTATACCAAAACTTCCACTGAATGAAGGAACATCAATCTGACGAACCTCCGATTGATCATAAAATGTTTGATTAGCAGCTGCGAAAGTAAGTTTCATCTCATCAGCAAATCCGCGCTTTTGCATATTATGGATGCTCCGCCCCATTAAATAGCGAGCATTCCGAACAAACGACATTTTATCTGTAATAAAAAAACATATGCATGATTTAAGTGAATCGAAATTATGTAATGTTGAAGGTTAGGGACTGTTGCAGTCCACAAATAAATTTCCTATTTATTCGCAGTTCTTTTTAATATTATTAAATGACTTGTTATTTAAATAATCTTACATGATTTAAAAAGCAAAGGATACCGATGACCGAGCAATTCGTAAAAAAATATGCAAAACTGTGTTTTTAGAATTACACACAGAAAACTTCGAAATCGGTACTATTTAATATAATATTCGATAACATAATTATTAACCAGAAGTGGTCGACAGAGTTGCCACTCTATGTAACCACTGAAAACATAATTGACGAAATCTTAAAAACTTTTGTTTTAATACTATGTCGCCATGTTTTCTTACCTAACAACGTGCAAAACTTTTCTGTTCAAATCAAAAAACCTTTTGAAAATACTTATCCTGAACTTTGATCTAGAAAATTTATTTATTTTTAAAGAGCTCACTTGTGCAACCCTGTACTGTTTTAATACCCTATTAGCGACATCTTTTGTTGATGAGTGTGGTTTTCACCGAAATTCTATTATATGTTAAATAGTTTAATCAGAGAACTTAATTCATTTAAGTTCTCTGGTTTAATTTAATTGTTGTATCAGAGAACGTAAATGAATATTTTAATAATTTCAAAATCAAGAGGAGGATAATCGTGACATCTGTTGTTAATATTTAGTGGTTTGTGTACGTGTTAATTGAAGAAACTTAATCAAATATATATATGAGGTGGAATACCAATGGCAATTCAACTTAAAGCTTTGTATATAGTTTTTAATAAACGATATTCGATGAAATATAATGTATTTAAATATATTGTGCCTATGGAAGTTACTTGTTCATCTTGATTTTTCTACATAAATCCACAAAATTCGTCATCAGGAATATATTACATTAAATACGTCAATCGGTAGCACTAGTCAGAAAGTTTATCATATACGCTAAGAATCGGTTATCGATTGCTATAACAGAATTTTATATCGAAACAAGCATTCCTGGATAGAAGTTTTAAGTTACTTCTTAAATAAAATATTGGTGTGGTTTTGTATTGGATCATCAAATTTTGATTTGGGAAGCGGAAGTTGGAGCTGGATGGCCAATTTTAAAACACTTATTTATTCATAAGTATCAACGTCCTCGCTTTATTATAAATTGATTTAACCTTGCAGATTTAGGTTTAGCTAAAGATGATGACAGTGAATTCTCGTGTTTTTCAATATTATTTGGATAATTTCTTTAAATTTCCCAAAGAAATAAGGAATGATATCGTTTACTGTCAGCGCTCTCTAAAGGCACATATCAAGGTCCATCAGGTATATTTTACTTTGTAGATATATAAATTATCATCACATACAATTAATGTTTATGAACTGTTTGTATAATTTAGATGGTGATCGACGTTTTTAACCAGGAGGAAGATGCAGTAAGTTAAGATTGAATTTCCGTATTATTTATGTTAATATTCTTTTCATTATTTTGTACTAAGATATTTTTTGAAAAAGTATACTGTGTATTTTACAAAGTAATGATAATAATTATGTGTATTACTAAAAAATGTGGGTCAGTATTTATAAGAAATATTTCGTAGGATCCGGCTCAGAAGCAACGTATTTTGGAAGAAATTGAATCGGAGATTTACGAGATAAATGCTGAGCAGCATTTTCTATTTTTACGACTTCGTCGGATAGTTGATGAATTCACAAAAATGTTGAAAAGGAATGACGTCCTTATCGATTATGAAGCAATAAATTCTACAATTTCTAAAGAGGTGGTACCACTTATAAATGACCCTGCTATTGGAATATTACCCGCAACAGTACTTTTTCGTAACACGGAACAAAAGTTAATTGAAAAGTATTTCGAAGTACAGAAAGAGAAGATAGTTTATGAAATTGAAGATTCGGATGACGACCACAATCAAGTTTTGTCTTCCGGCGAATTGATTGATGATTTTAGCGTAGCTAGTAATGGTGCCTTCCATTTGCAAGGTTCTTGTGGAAATTCGAATAGTTTGTCTCAAATGTCTTTATTAAAACCAATTTCACAACGATTGGTTGGCAGTGGACGCTTTACCGATGCTTCCAAATTCTTGCAAATGAACCTTGTGGAAGAAAAGGCTAATGATGAGGCAACGAAGGATGATGTGCTGCTGCCAGAGGATGTATCAGATTTTCCCGGTACATCACATAAAAATAATGAATCTATTGAGCCATTACAAGATGTACCTGTTTCTAAGAACGTAAAAATTAGCCGCTTCAATCTTCGGCAAGCTCTTAATAAAGCGCGTTCTGAAAATATGGTAGCAAAGGCAGCTGCTAGCATGATAGCGCGGGCTATACCAACATCCACGACAGCGATTTGTCATGCCTCAACTTCTTTAGAAACGGTAACACATTCTCAACGAAAATATGAAGTCAGAACAAGATCATCAAGAAATAATAGTGGAAATGTATTAACAGAAGCAATAGTTCCCAGAGAAAAAAATACCTCAGAATTAAATTCGTCTTCTGATGATTCTAATCCTGAAAGACTTCAAATCACACCCCAATCCCAATGGGCTGTAATGGATTCAACTGAGCATCGAACTCTGCCAGAACATTACGGACAAGAAATGTTTTTACGTTTGTTTCAACTTTTTACCCCTATAATGCTCGTTCAGATGCAACAACGTCGCTCAAAACGTAAACGTCGTACTGTCCATAACAACGAACGTGCTGATTTTCACTACGGCCGTATTGAGGTAAACTTACAATTAAAATATTTATGCTATAAATTTAATGTGTTGAATATTTGCTATTTAGTATGGTAGCTATCCTCCTCCAGAAAAAAAGCGTAAGACTTTTCTGATTTCTCCACAAGTAAAACGAGTTTTACAATCGAAACGCCCGAAGCGTACTAATACTGACAAAAATGAGAACCAAGCACCTTCTCGATCTAGCTCCAGCTCACCAGACGAAAAACGTTGCTGCAATGAGTGCCTAAAAACTGGGGGTATGTAAATTAAAATAATTCTTGAGATTTAAGGTTTTACAAATTAAAGCTTTGATCACCTCAGGTTGTTTTGATGAATGCCTCGAATGCAAAGGATATTACCATCAATTATGTCATATAGAAGAAGATGAAAAGTCAATTGATCATCCAAATGTTTCTGTCCAAAGAAATGTATTACAGAATTTATGCCCTGCTTGTAAACGTCAACGATCAAGCTTATTTAGCAAAGGTATGTTTTGAAACGTTGCTTTAGTGCAAAAGTAATTTATATAGAATTGTCTTCTAAAGTTTAATTTATTTTCTGGGTATAGATGCCCTGCATTCCACTGCACAAGAGCTTGAAAAAAAACTCGCTCATGAAAAGGATCGGCGTGTGAATTTACAGCAAGAAAGCAAAATGTACAAATTACAAATGCGCAACCTGTTCAATATTGTTAATACTATCAAATGTGATCCAGAAAACGATAGTTCCGGATAAAAGCTACAGTACTACAATTTTGAGTACTAATTTTGTTTGGAGAATGAATATGTAAATTGAATATAAATTCCACACATAATGCTTTTTTTTACTAACAATAATATGACTTATATATTTCCAAGTGTTCTTTAAATATTTAGTTGGGCTATAAAAGACACTTCCTGGGAATAAAAAATTCCGTATTTTATACGGTAATTTAGAAAGAGCTTGAGGAGCACTTAATTTAAATTTGTGGTAGGGAGGAAAAAAATTGAATATATATATAAGCTACTATTACAATTCCAAAATAACAAAAATGGCCGCTAATATTTGAACTTGAGTTGCATAAATCTCCTTGGCAAAAGCACATATACACTTTTTTATAATTGTAAACCGTGTTGGCACAGCGATCTTGATTGTCATCTGGACCCCGTTGCACACACATCCGCTGTATTGCTTGGTCGTAGTCTAAAAAATACAGGTGTATAAATATGTGACATTTCAATTTTAATGAGTTAGTCTATACCGTCCACGGCATACGTGCCACCACCTTCGATTACTTTCCCACACCAGCCAGATGCACATGGTACAGCCGACAATCCGGGTTCATTTTCAACATCAGTTGCATTAAAAGAGAATGGATCTTTACAGCTTCCAAGTTCCCCTCTAGACCGACATTGAAAACACCGACGAAGCAAACCTAAAAAAATCAATATATTTTAGATTTGTTGTTTTAAAAGAACATCCAAAAGTAAACGCGAATTTAGCTTTGTCTTGTTTGATCTGATTATTAAATTATGTATCAATGTCTATATGAATATAATATTTCCAACAATAAAACAAAAGACTTCAACAAAGCACGAACGCGACGCAGTTCTAATACTAGCCATTTGATATTTGGACAAAAAGAAGCAATAACGTAGCAAATACAACTTTTTTATGCATTTTAAGTTTCAACTAGCTGTATTTCTTTAATTTTATTAAAAAATAAATTTATTCACGGTCCTTTGTATAAAATGGAATTTTCACAATGTATTTATTCACATGGAGTTGCCGAGTCGAATGAGAGATTTAAAAATTAAAGATTAAAGCCAATTATTTGACATTTCTGTTACAAGATAATATTTCATTTATTGGCACCAAACAGTAATGGTTTTTATTTAAAGTGCTTAAAAACTTAAAAAGACTAAAGAAATTTTTGTATACGTTTTTTTTTAACTTAACTTTTGGAATGGATATAATTTTCAAATTTCGATGTTAATTTGGAGGAAATTGTTTCATTCATAAAATATATGTTATGAATAATATCTAAAAATGTAAAATTATACTAAAGAAAAAATAGCTGTCAAATTAACGAAAATGGAGTTAACCGGGTTCTTTTATTAAAATAACGCATTAGTTGTTTTGATAATTGTGTACTGTAAGCAATAAGTTGTGTCCATTGGCAATGTTGCCTCTGATAACATTATCGAGCTAACAAATAGTTCGACTGTTAACCAATCATGATGACAAGGTGAACCAAGTTGTTAATTTATGTTTGCAATATTTGTTAATTTTAGATCTATTTTTTCCTATAACTTCTATGATTACCTTAATTCTTCTTAAAATATGTAAATAAAATAAAATATAGGAATCTATGAACTCTAAAAAAAATTCTCGACTTCAAATATCCAAAGATCACCTTAAGTCTCTTGAAAGGTATTTTTCCAACTGTGTACCTGTTGTCCTCGTTTGTTATATAGATTAATCTATTTAATCGATTTTAACAGGACCTCATAGTTTCAGTTATTCTTTTTAAACGATTATGGGGTATTTTCGCTAGGGTGTTTAATTAAATTGTTATTGCTTGTCTTTTATTTGATTGGTTGCTTAGAAATTGATTACTTAGACACTTTTGAAAGATACTTACGTCATGTCTGTAATATCTCTGTGTTCTTGAATCACCAAGAAAGAAACGTTTGTCTCTCAGATTTTGAGATATCGATCCTTTTCTTCCCGCCGATATCGGATCACTATAGAATGTAGCTGTCATATCTTCAAGAAGTTTGGCATGTATTATTTTCCATGGATATTTGTTTATTTGTGAAGGGTATTATAGCTTCGGTGTTCATTGTTGTTGTTACGGAGGTGCAATATGTAAGACATTGCCATACTCACAATGTTCCGTTACACAATAAGTTACAATATACAAGGTAGTTTGTACAAAGCTTGAGGTAAAATATACTTAACTCCCATATAACTTAATTTATTTCAACAGGACTAAGTGTAAACATTTTTTTACAATATTTCACGATGCAGTGTAAAAATCTGTGAATACGATAGCTCTTAAACTTAAAGCATCAGACGTATTAAATTTAATCGAAATGAAGAAGCAAATTCAGATTTCTGCACCATGCACAACATACATATAGAGAGCAGATCACAATATCACAATATACAGAGAGCACTCACCCTAACGCAGAAATGGTGCGAAGAAAACTATACTAACAATGATGAAAAAGGGAACAAGGAAAGGAAACTAAAAGGCAGCAGAAAAAAATCCAACTTTAATAGAGATGACTAGACCCTAATGCAATAAAAAAGGAGCTAAGAAATTATAAAAATTGAATAAGAGACTGGTATTGGTAGAGTAGTAATTGGATAAGACTTTATTAAAAACTAGCTCTGACGAAACTTGTGGCTTCTGTGAGCTCAAACCCGAAACACCAGAGCACTTATGGTGGAAACAGAGAATCTAAATTAACGTTCTCTGTTTGAAATGCGAAGCTGTTGCTATCTATGATTTTCGCTATTCTAGGGAATAGAATAATATGTGATTGTGGTCCACCACCTAATAGCTTTATTTTACCTAACAACCACTTCACAAAAAATGCACAAAAACATGGGTGTTTTGGCACGAACTAACCTAACTCATCTATGGTTTGGACTATGGGTGTTTAATATGATACCAAATCTGAATAATAAATTAAGTACATATATGTACATACCTATGTATTACTTTTAATTCTAAAATATGTTTGTTCCATGTTTACAACTAAAGTGAAGTGGGTGGAGTAAGAGGAAAAGTGACTTACGTCAACGACAAAGCACCGATAAAGAATATATATAAGTTGTTAAAGCCTAGGGATTTTTTTTTGATTTATACCGAATCTGGCAGCGTTGCATGTAATCTTCATACGCTCACCCAGTATCCAGTTATAGTTGAAAGTTTTTCATTGAGGATTGGTTATGACGTGGAAATGCCGATGCCACGTCTCGTAGACGTTGAGTTCAAAAGATATGCCAAAAACCCAAGGAACTCGAGTTCAAGACGATCGTAGACCCTTGTGTAACTCGGTCTTAGTAAGAAAATCAAACAATGGTAGATTGGTTCTCGACAATCAGTAATAGCACGGATTGGTAACTACACGGAATATTTGTTGGCTAAAGGGTCAAAATATCGGATGACGTATTGATCGTAAGTACAATTATATTTTTGTCAATGAACTTCGCTACTCAGTGTCCAGAAATTTGGTATAAACGGTTATGGAAGGAGAAACCCCAAGGAAACATCTATCTCAAATTATGAATATTAAGAGATCAACAAAGACATTTAGTGTTGCTGTCCTTTTTTCACCATTTTCGTCATATTTTGCTTTTTTATTTTCGCAAAAGGGAAAAACGTATCGCAAGCTCACAAAAAGTTATGTGCTGTTTATGGCGACGAAGCCATAAAAGAACGGGAGTGTCAAAATTGGTTTGCCAAATTTCGTTCTGGTGATTTTTCACTCAAAGATGAAAAACGCTCTGGTCGTCCAGTTGAAGTTGATGATGACCTAATCAAAGCGATAATCGATTCGGATCATCACAGTACAACACGTGAGATTCCAGAGAAGCTTCAGGTATCACATACATGCATTGGAAATTACTTAAAACAACTTGGCTATGTTCAAAAACTCGTTACATGGGTTCCTCACGAACTGAAAGAAACGCATTAACAGCTGCGATTTGCTAAAGAAACGTAATGAAAATTATCCATTTTTAAAACGAATGATAACTGGCGATAAAAAATGGGTTGTTTACAACAATATTGAGCGGAAAAGATCGTGGAGCAGGCCAGGTGAACCAGCTCAAACAACATGAAAAGCAGGTATTCATAAAAAGAAGGTTTTGTTATCAGTTTGGTGGGATTATAAAGTAATTGTCTACTTTGAACTCTTACCACCCAACCGAACGATCAATTTTGTTGTCTACATTGAACAACTAACGAAATTAAACAATGCAGTTGAAGAAAAGCGGCCCGAATTGATAAATCGAAAAGGTGTTGTATTCCATCATGACAATGCAAGGCCACACACATCTTTGGTCACTCGGCAAAAATTATTGGAGTTTGGTTGGGATGTTTTGCCACATCTACCATATAGTCCTGACCTTGCACCATCGGATTATTTTTTTGCTTATAAAAATCAGAAGTTTTATGAACGTGGGATTATGATGCTGCCTGAAAGATGGCAAAAGGTCATTGATTAAAATGGGCAATACATTACAGAATAAAGTTATTTAGTTCCATAAAAAAATTATCTTTTATTTTTTAAAAAATCTCGTCTTGTTGAGAATAATCTCTAATATCGGATTGGGTTCCAATGTATGGCAATTAATGAAAATTGATTTTTAATACCTTCAACTATTGATAGCAGGTGAGTAAGACGACTGCATTAAATCGACGTTTTATCCGTAAATCTCAGACTTAAACACACGGCAGTGTGCTTTATCGTATCGTGTAAAGTACCAGCAGCAGCGATATTCTTAGAGCACTTAAGTAATACAAAAAATTTGGTGTTAATACCTTTTCAAATTCCGCTGATAAATGCAAATCAAATTATAACGACGCATTCTTATTGCATGGTTTTTTACCAGTGATTGCTCATACAAAGATTAGGAAATCACAAAACAATAAAGTAGCTGAAAGTTAATAACAGAAATGCATATCAGAAGCAATTGTTTTAGGCTGCTGAAGGTGTGCTAACCTGGTGACGTGCAGGGTATATGTACATGCATAAATATATTTGAATTTGAACTATAATTTTTGAAGATATTGTACCCATTCCCACCTAATATACCCTAAACGTTTAACAAATTTTTCTGCATACAAATTTTTTATATACTTACTAAGAAAGTAATAATTTTTGGTTATAAGAAGTACTTTTCTCTATATAAAATTAACTTTCTTATATACATATATATATAATATATGATATATTGACAGTGTAACATATAAACTTACTTAAGTATTAACATGCATTTTACTTAAATATTTGAATTTTGCTTTGTTGTTACTACAAATACTTTTATTTTAATTTGCTTGAAGCAAAAATCGTCTGTGCTCATTTAATATTCATGGGCTGGGATTTACAGTATTACAATCACAGTAACTTAATGTTCAGCTCGAGTAACGAAAGCAGGATGGAAAACAAATAAAAATTGTATACTTACACGTATACATAAAACCTTTTCTATCATAGTTAAACTTGTGATTATAATTTTTCGAAGGAGATGCACTATACTAAATTTACGTTATCTCATCGCCTTGATCAATTTATTTTTCTTCTGTTATGTGCAAATATTATATTTTTCCGTATTTCCAGAAATCGTTTGCGCAACCTCCACGACGGAGCTGAACAAAACTATTAATTAAATTTCAATTTTATTTAAAATTTATATAATTTTAATTCACAGCCAATCACAACAATATCGAGTGATCAAATTTTTGAGCCTGGGGTCCAGCAAATTGCTGGTTATGCAATCAATTACTATCACTAGCGTACAATTATTAGAGTATAACTAATAAGGTTAATTTTCTGTTGCTTATGAGAGCGTTCCGACAAGTACTTAAATTGCTTTGAGCTTTAGCTTCCATGTAATGCTTCAACGATGTTAAACTTTCTTAACTTGCCGGACGTTTTCTGCATAGTAGAAGCTTGTGACCGTTTTGTCCCTCTCCCGGTAATTATTGTAGATCAGATCCTGAGTATTGCAGAATTCCGTCTGTAACCGGAGTATGCTTGCCAGATGAAGTCCACTGTTTCGAGTGTTCCTTTGTTTTTGTACACATCAGGATCATAGGATCCAACTCCTTTTAATTGCGTTCAAACACTGATGTGTCAAAGTTGCGTTTGTTGTCCACAGCGTGTGACCACGTTGAAACTCATGGTAAAATGTGCGGTGTAAAAATGTTTAAAAAGTGTAATTGACATTGCAGAAAATGGCAGAATCGCATAATAGTAATTTTCATCAAATACTTTCAACATGTAAAAATTTAGTTACTCGAATGTGTGGCAACGCTCATTTAAAAATTATCGAAATCGAACTATACCTTTTCAAGATGTAGCTAAAGGCACTTGGTTTAGTTTGAAAAACTATATGGAGGAACTTCAATGGACGATAGCAACCTTTCCTTTCTTTAAGAAAGAAATGATTAACTTCGGGTGAAACAGAACTTCATATATTTTCGAAATTTGCAAGTGGTAAATTCGTGTGGAATATTTCGAGTGTTTCAGCGTTCATTCTTGATATTGAACTAATATGTTAAGCAAAATTTTTGCTAGACAATTTATGTGCTCTAGACAACAGTAGTCTGGAAAGCTATAACGAACTTGTACTGCCTATTACTTCATCCTCCTAATTGTTTTAAAGACCACTTATTTGTATTTGCATTCTAACAATGAAAATATGAGTCGGTATATTTAAAAAAAACGTGGGTTAATTAACAATGGTATATGTATGTATCAAGAGAAGATTTATACCAAAAACAATATAATATTTATAGTGCATAAAATTTTATAGTATAACTAATTGTGAGAAATTTGGTCTAAAAGCACTTAGGGTGAAATAATAATAATGACACTAAAATAAAATAAAATAGAAACAAGAAAAAGTGTTAACTTCGGTTTCCTCGAATCTATAATACCTTTCACAAATAAAGGTTTTCCTACAAGAAATTGATTTTGATCGGTAAATTTGTAAAGTAGTTACAGCGCGTTCAAAAAATAACATTTTTCCTTTTCGAATGAAACTGTTTTTTATTTGTTTGCAAATTAATACTTGTTCAATTGTGATCACTGATGCGTACAACTCAGTAATTGTGTTGGGCACGTTGTGCCGTGAAATAAGAAAAATGAGTGCTGTTAACGAAGCATCCGAAAGGTACCAAACGGACTATTAAAAAAACTGAAAAGTCTTTAAATACGAGTTTTACATTTTAGAAGAGTTGGTCTGACCAGCATTTGGCGCAGGAAATCATCAACCGTGATTAGGGCAATGTAATATTTACAGATGAATCAATTTTCATAATGTTTAACCCCTTGAGACGTGTTTGGCTAAGAAAAGAACAAACATTTATTCAAAGGAGTATTAGACACCCCCAAAAGATGGATATTTATGGATGCTTCTCTGCCCATGGATTTGGGGGTTTCAACTGCTTCACAGAAAATCTGAACGCCGTTAGAATAATAAAATTGCATAAAAAAAAAGGATTTAGTGAAGCCAGCTGAAATGCTTTACGGAAAAAATAACCATGATTGCATACTGCAAGTAGACAATCATCCAAAACATAAAAGCAGACTCTGTACTCAACGGAAACTGTAAACAAGAAAACCATATTGTTACTTTACATTTTCAGACAGTCACCAAATGCTAATCCAATAGAGAAGGTGATAGGACGTGAGAACAAACGTCTATAGTAACTAAATTTTTCTTAATAAACGCTATCAACACTTTGGAAAGCGAAAACGCTACTTTTTGAACGCACTGTATATGCTATAGTCAAGGCCGACCCAAGACATTTTTACCGCCCTAGGCAAATGTAATTGTCCGCTCCTTCTAAGCTTATTTTGCCTTAATAAAAAAAAAAAGTTATAATTTTGGAAAATTGTGCAGGTTATTTTATTTAACAAAAAAACACTCATATTCCAAAGGTATATCATAATAATTTAAAAATATTATAATTAGTAGTACAATAAAAAAGGATAATTACTTAAATATTTTCGAATGGAATGTGAAAATATAAAACTAAAATTTTTGTATGTAAATAAATAATGAAGTAAATATAAAAATAAAGAAAATTTGCTAAAATGCCGCTCTAAAACTCTTGCGTCTTAGGTAATTGCCTAATTTGCCTATGTGAACGGGCCGGCCTTGGTTATAGTGGTCCGATCAGAACAATATATTTGGAGATTGTACTATTGCTGTTTTTTTTGGAATGCATGTATTATGAGCCTTAATCGAGTCCTTTGCGGATGTGGCAGGCTTCAATTTTTGGAAGAAAGAACACAAGTTATTGAATAGTGTTTTTAGAAATTAGACATTTGAGTAAACCTTATGTGGTTGTAAGAAGAAAAATGTTTATGTTATATACAATTTTTTAAAAACATTTTTTTTTTCACAAACTTATCGCACAATATTACAAATATTATTGAGTACTGTGCTTTATGCTTATAACGAGCAATACAGTTCTTACAAGTTTTTTATTATTTGCATTCATTAATAATACAAATTATAGATATATAATACATTTAAATGTAGCTTATCATTAATTTTTCAAATTAAGAATATTTGATAATAAACCAATACAAATTTATATATATATTGATCTACATTTCAAACACATTCTCAAATTTGCTATAAAAATTACAAAACTAAGTATAAGTGTTATGAGAAGAGTAGAAACCATTTACCAATGCCAATTTACTGTTAAAATGGCATGCAAAAAATACTAATAGCTGAAAAATATTTGCATGAGACGAGACTTGTCTCGTATTTTTGCCACTGCCAACCCCTGCTCGAAAACATTTTCTATTAGGACATGTTTGAAATGATGTGGGAACGGTAGAGCTATATGTATACACGAGAGTACCTTCTTGTAGCTGGGTATTAGTGATGCTGTAAACTGGCATACATCGGGGCGGAGTTAACTTTTTCAGCGTAACACGAAGCAATTGGATGTTGAAGATGCCAAATGAAATTGTATAATTTTCACACATGATACTATATACTGCATAAATATTTAGGTGGCGTTTGAGCACAAAATAGGGGTTACAATGGTGAATTTTTAGTATTATAGCATGAAGTAATTGAAATTATAGCATGTTGATTGTGGAATAAGTATTACAAGAACAAACTCTCAAAAATGTTGTATACTTATTTACATATTCGCATATACTTTCCTGTGTACTTACATACATACATATGTACATATATACATATGTACATACAAATGTACTATTAAACTAAGTTTCGATATTACTGTAGCGTTTATATTATGTGCATACTTACGTATTTATTTAGAGATAGCGTCTGCAAAGCCGATGAGCTGGCCAGGGGGGGCACCTTTGCCCCGCTCACATCGGAATGGGATCGGGTTGGATCTCCGTTAGCGTCTTGCGCTCTAGCTTTGGATCAATGGACCTCGCGTGCACTCAGCAGACGCTGGTCGACGACTAGGTCCTGTGCGACCGCGAGATCCTTCTGGCCAAGAGTGGATCGCAGGAGGTCGGGGGAACTTCTCGCCCTGAGCAAAGTGCATCTCGCCGCTATGGTAGGAGTTCTCACTGGACACTGTCCAATGGACACTCATGCGGTACGGCTTGGTGTACTACCCGATGCTAGTTGCCAAAGTTGCATGGAGGAGGGCGAGGTGGAATCATCCCGGCACTTTCTCCTCCAATGTCCGGCTTTCGCTAGGCTGCGATTGAAATATCTCGGCAATCACACTTTTGGCGGACCTGAATACTTATCCGAAATGGATATTGGCCGTCTTAACAAGTTTGTAGTAAGCACAAAGCGTCTCATCGACTTGTAAGGGTATTTTGATCCAGATTATAGGAGTTTTGTAGGTATCACAACGGACTGGCGTCTTAAGCTGTCCAAGTGGGATCCTTTCTGGGATCGAACTCCTAACCTAACCTAACCTATGTATTCATTTTGGGGAGACCGCGGCTTTTTATTTATTTAATTTAGTTATTATCATGAATTAAATTGTCTTATTTATATATTAACAAATTACTATTTTTATGCTTGAGTATATACATCCATATATATGTAGGTATTAAAATAAATGAAACTTTGAAAATGCCAAATCGCTGGAACACAGTATCATCTGTCACAAAAAATTTTATGAATTATATAAATAATATTTACCATAAAGCACGTTGTATGTACACACAAACATATGTTTGCTTTAATATACGTAATAATTCATGAGATGTTTTTTCCACTCAGCTATAACTATCTTGTGAACATATCTACATATGTAAATTTGTGGTTCGGATGCAACAGATAACATGTTGTTACAATATGCATATTTTATTTTCTTACGAATATAATAATTTAAGGAAAATTTAAAAATTTTAACCTTGCGTGGATGTTTGTTTTTTATGTGTCACAATTTTATATTCTATTTAGTCGTGAAAAATGCAACTTACTTTTACCCATAGTAAATGTTTTCACCCCAATTCAACATTGAAAGAAAATCTACCGATTGGCATACAGTTTAAGAGGAAGGTAAATAGTATCGGCATCTATAAAACTCACCTCATGTTAGTATTTGATAATTCACCATATATTCCCAATATATGAATGAATTTGTATTTTTATTTCGTGTTGATTGAGACTTTAATGGTCTATACAGTTCTATCTTTTCTAGTGACTAACGAATGTCAATCGGAAATAATTACAACCAATAACTATTTATATACTGATAAATAGAAACAACTTACTTATGTATATAGGGTCATACAAAGCATGCGCGTAAATAGTTCGTTGAGAAACAAGATTACAGTCCCATATTCACAGATATGCCTATGTACATGTGTATATCAGTATGTAAAACACCCTTTATTGAAGAAGTAAACTCCCCACATAGGTGTAAACGAGACAACGTAAGACGAAACAGGTGAATGATATGTTTGAAAGATTAACGGCGCTACTCTGGTGGAGCTGCTTTGATATTTGTTTGTATTCGAGCGTATCTTTAGAGCGTTTACTGGTTTTAAGTTGAAGTATCAGCGGAGTGATGATTTAGTTTCGGACTGTTATTGAAAACGAATGGTTAATGTTTTCCAATGGTAAATTATAATCGCAAGCTAACGAATAGATGGTTAATAATCTCGCTACCGACGGTATTATTATTTATACAGTTCGGTAGTTGAAATAATCGAATTGTGTATATAACTGATACTATAATATGTTAATATCTTTGCCATGAAAATATTTGTTTGAAACATATACATCATACATTATAACCCTTTATGTAGGACTACAAGAAAATATATGTGAAACGATCGGTACTAGAGATATTAAATATGGTAAAATGATTTACTTTTATATCAACAGACACTTTACCTGGAACGTTGCAGAAAAGGAATATTTTACTCAAAATAAAAACGTCATTAACAGTGCATTAAAAGTAACAAAAAATAGTATCAAATCACTTTAAGATCTCTTTGATCAAAGTCTGACTCATACGTTTATGGTAATACAACTATCTGATTTTCTAAAAAGTGTATATGTAACTCAATACGCAAAATGTTTTTACCAATACCCTGAAAAGGGAATATTAAGTTTACTACGATATTTTTAACACTCATAAGGAAACTTCGGAGACCCATATACATACTTATGTATACGTATTATTGTTCAAAGTGACGAGTTGAGGACGATTTAGTCATGCCCGTCTGCCTGTCTGTCTGTATATACGCGAACTAGTCCCTTAGTTTTTGAGTTAGCGATTTGAAATTCACTCCCTTTTCTCACCAAGAAGCCGATCGGAACCGCCGATATTGGGCTACTGTAGGATATAGCTGCCATGCACACTGATCGATCAAAATCAAGTTCTTGTATGAAAAACTTTTTTTTGACAAGAAATCTTCACGAAATTTGGCATGGATTATTGTCCAAGGCAATGGTAAAATCTTCGGATACCTATATCGTTCAGATCGGACCACTACTGATGATGCCATTAAAACTGAACGATTACAATCAAGTTCTTGTGTAATAAACCTTTTTATTTGTGAAGAGTATTATAGCTTCGGTGCTAATATTAAAACCAGTAATAAATGTGATTAGCGCAGATGCAGAATACACATAATTGTCTTTGATAATACCATATAACAATGTAGTAAGTAGTAACATATGAATATTATTCTAAGATTATAACTAAACAACATATAAAATAATCGAAGTGTATAGTACAATTTTATAACTAATGGAAATGAATAAATGAATATTCGTATATACTATGTATGAATGATAGAATACCTGGTTGCATTTTCCGCAGGTCTATTATAAAATACAAAAAGTTTCACATATGCATATTTAAAAATGAAAGTTCGTTAGTTTCTTAAGAATTTGGATGAGATAACGCTATAGTTTTATGTGAATAGTATATGTTTGTGAAAAGTAGATGCATATTTTAACAGATTTCGTACATGAATATGAAGTATTGTTTCAATATCTTTTTTAAGTCTCGCAATATCTGTTGTAAAGGGGAAAGAAGGCTACAGAAAAAAATGTCATGTGTACCATCGACTGTCTAAGTAATTCTATCGCTGAATAAATAGTAGCAATACACACATGTATATTATACATTGTGTATAGATGAATATATTCAAGGAAAAGCTAACAGCATTTGCTTTCCACAATTTTCGAAGCCCACTTAGACCTCCAAGTCGATCCAAACGTAGCATTTCAAAACTAAGAAAAGCCGTATTAAATATTTTAGCTAAGGTAATTGTGTAGCTGCAGATTAAGCAAGTTGAATAAGTTATATGTGAAAACTTATTTACTTCAAATTTATCCGTATGTATGTACGTTTAAGGCATATTCTTATTCTTCCGACGTAAACTTACTTAACTAATTATTTTGGAGCCTAGTGTTACACGTATTTGTATGAATAAAAATCCACTATGAGCCTTTAGAAACCATAATAATTATATTATTATTTTTTTATAAACATAAACAAAATAAGCTGGGATTCGTTATTGTTGAGACCATATGAGTTCATCAATAAGTTGACGTCGGTTGTTTTTATACTCTCGCAACCTGTTGCTACAGAGTATAATAGTTTTGTTCAGCTAACGGTTGTTTGTATCACCTAAAACTAATCGAGTTAAATATAGGGTTATGTATATAGGTATAAATGATCAGGATGAAGAGACGAGTTGAAATCCGGGTGACTGTCTGTCCGTCCGTCCGTCTGTCCGTCCGTCCGTGCAAGCTATAACTTGAGTAAAAATTGAGATATCTTTATGAAACTTGGTGGACATGTTTCTTGATACCGTGAGACGGTTGATATTGCAGATGGGCTTAATCGGACCACTGCCACGCCCACAAAACGACATTATTCAAAAACAAATAAATTGCCATAACTAAGCTCCACAACAACATACAAGACTCTTATTTGGTATACAGGATCACAATAGGGAGGGGCATCTGCAGTTACTTTTTTTAAAATGGGCGTGGTCCCGCCCATAATAGGTTTAATGTGAATATCTCCTAAACCGCTAATGCAATAATAACAAAATTCACTGGAAGCAAATGTTTTTAGAACCTCTACCTACAGTGTGAAAATGAGTGAAATCGGGTGGCAACTCCGCCCACTCCCCATATAACGGTACTGTTAAAAACTATTAAAAGCTCGATAAATCAAGCACTAAACACGCCAGAGACATCAAATTTTATCTCTTTGATTTTATGAGATGACTTTATAAGAACCGTGTTCAAAATTAGACAGTGGGCGTGGCTCAGCCCACTTTTAGGTGAAAACCCATATCTTGAGATCTGCTTAACCGATTTCAACCAAATTCCGTGCATAACGTTCTTTTCATATTTCTATGTCATAGTGCGAAAATGGGCGAAATCGGACTACAACCACGCCTATTTCCCATATAACACCATTTTCAATTTCATCTGATTCTTTCACTTTCCACTATGCAAATCAGGCAACAATGACTATCGGGATTGCGTGAATATTGCGATTAAAGTATGCCATTTTGTGGCCAAAAAGTGTCTAAATCGAACTAAAACTGTTCAAGCCCCTAACTAGTAAATATGTGGACCCCAGTGCCTATAGTTGACCTTCTACCGAAAATATCAGTCAATCCACAAAGAAATCTCAAACGAGTATACTATTTGACTTTGCGAGAGTATAAAATATTCGGTTACATCCGAACTTAGCCCTTCCTTACTTGTTTTTAATGTTTTTTCTCAACACTTTCGTTGAAAATGACAGTGCTCATAATTTTTTCCTACTCTCTTGTAAATCTGCAGGTAGTGAAAAAAATGATGACAACAGCTGGAAATATAAGTTTCTGATGGAGCTAACAAAAGTCAACGGGAATAGCGGACTGTCTTCCTTTTGGAAGCATCATTTGAACGTCAAAATATCTAATACGAAATAGATGCTCGAGTTGACTGATTGCTAAGTGAAGACTTGATATCAAAAACGAAGGTATTTTTTGAAATCGGTTGAAGCTCTAATTTTATAAATTTTTTCACTTTTTCTATTATTGGTTTGGTTATTTTATTTTATTTTTTATTTTTATAAACAATCATATTGATATAAGAAGTGGTACAGCATTGTCAATTATTTTACATATATAATTAATTTTCTATATATAGTATACAAATTAAAGTGGTATTGTTTTCGAAACTGTAATTTTAAACGTAATAGTCATCACTCTAATAGATATCGAAAATACTTGAAAGTATTTGATAGATATATATATATATGCACAATAATAACTCAAGAGCAATGGACACATTATTTCTAAATCAGAGTACGTTCAAATGAATGCATTTTATTTTATATAAGTATGTATGTACATATGTTAAACATATTTAGGAACTGATGTATGTAGTTCTTAAATGTAGGAAAGGTTTGAAAATAATTTCATTCTCCTCACACATCTTTCATTTCACAGATGATAGATGATTAATGACGTTGAAATAAGTATTGACTGCTTCAACCTCTCACTTGAATTCATAAAGAGAACTTCAATAGTTATATTGGCTTTACGCAAATCTCCGTATCAAATTTCTTAATAGTGGAAAACAGTGGAGGCAATTTGAAATACACCGCACACCAAATCGAATGAAAAAGTGTGCCCTTTGCAATTATCGCGGTTAAAAGCTTCTCAAGTATTTTCTTTGTTAGGCACGTTACTTCAATTAGATATCACAATGATAACAATTGTTATCCATAAAATTTTGCTGATGACTTTCTATTTGAGTGCCAGCAATAAGTAAATTTAAACTATTCTGTAAAAAAGTTTATAAAACATCAGCTCAATAGTGAAAATAAGAAAATGAGAAGGAAAACTTGAATTTTGTTTAATTTTTAAGCCTTTGCCAAATAAGGAATTAATCCACTTTTCAACGTGTCTGTGGAAGGCTTGATATATTATCAATTACCAAAGAGTGGTAAAAGCACAAAATAAGGAAGTAACGAAATCTGCGATTCATTTAAGCCACTGAGAAGTTCATCAGATTCACAATAAATAAATAGATAATGATGATGCAAGGCAATTACGATGCATTATAAAATCTCACAGATTACTAAAAAATGACATCGTTAATGTTTAGCAGAGCGAACCAATTAATTTTAGAAATTACATATTATTTTATGATTACATAAAGTCTGCACATACATATATCCATATAATTGCTAAATATTATTCAAATATATTACAGGCAATCTTAGCACCATTAGTACAGAAGTCCCATATATGGTATAAAAACTATCACCGCTCACGTGCCAAACTTTCAAGAGATATTGGAAATAAAAAGTAAAAACAGGAAAACTCGCCGTAGATTATTATTATCATAATATTTATAATAAATTGTAATTGTAATGAAACACAACTTTGAAATATATTTCTCAGAAATATTTATAGATCTCGTATAGCTTGAATTTTGAAAAATTGTAAAGTATTCGTAATGTTTTAAATGTTAAAAAATTTACGGCAAAGTTCTATAATAAAACTCAGATATAAACTCTACTTTTTATTCTGTGCTGTCAAGGGTAATAGTATTTAAAAATGTTGCTTTGGTACAAATGGTAAGTAAGAACTTAATCGTACTTTATTCATTTAGAAGATTAAAAACTTTCACGATCTAACTTGTGAATTGGATAATAGTCGCTGAAATGTAATATTATGTAATGTTTAAGTAGTGCATATTCATATTAAACCAAGTAAATACCTGTGAATTGTACTCGATACCCACAAAGTACATGCACACGAGTTGGCTGATGTACTCCACTACTTCCATCTGAGTAGTTGTATTGAAACTACAATAATATAACTTAATAAGTCAATAAAAGCTCGAAAATAACTCTTTGCAGCTGCGCTTTCCATGTACGAATACTATATTAAAGAAAACTGAGTTATGCCAACAAAACAAAAAAATATATATATAGACTTAACTGTTTTATATTAATTATTGTTTCCACTATTCGTAGCAAACGATCTTTATTAATCTATGTACATGCATATATGTACATTTGTGTATGTATATATAAATGCAGATTTGCAAATAGTTACGCTTCATACATTTCTAACTAAATTGAGACGAGTGGTTGTTAAAAGACAAAAGCAACAAACTCTTTTGAGTGCACTTTATTTGACTTGCAATACTTGGTATTTATTGTTATTTTCGAATACAATATTTTACGGTTAACGAAAAATATTGGTCGCACGCTGGCCGCTTACAGTTTTTCTCACCACCACTCGTACGCAAAACATGAAATTTGCAGTAAATCGACGGTGTACTTTTCACCCTGTTTGTATTACATCTTTTTTCACAACTGCCAATTCGCTGCCTTTACAATGACTTTTATTGTTTGTTTTTGTTTAGCACATTACTTCCTATTTATATGGCGGTTTTATTATATTTTCATTACATATTAATCACACTTGAGAAATACTTGATATATTTCGATGTGTTCGTTATGAGGAATTCGAAATTGTTTCCAAATTCGTGCTTATGTGGTGCTCTTATACACATACATAGATACATGTATAAAAATAAATGTACATATGTATAATGTGAACATTAACATTTCAATTTGCAGGGTTAAAATGCAGATTTTTAAAGTGCAATAAGTATACTTAAATTTTGAGCGTGAACATATCCTGTGTACCCTACAGGCCAGAATTCGGTATACTTGTTTTAATTTGATTTGATTTAGCATGACATCTTCTACGTTTTTTTATTATTATTATTGGTGGATAATTAGCGCTGACAATACTTATGCTTATACTTATTTCCATGCACATTTTTTAATACATAACGAAATTAATTTAATTCGAATCCTAATATATAATATTAAATCCCTTAAATGAATATCAAAGATCATTATATCTTAATTCAGTTTCAAAAATTGAAAACATAACCGCCCAAGCCACGAGGTCCCAAACCAATCCCAGTACCCATCTATAGTGATGAGTAGTGGTTTATAGTTATATTTTAAAGAACTCTTTAGTAGAAACACTTTATTACATAATAACCAGCAGTTTCCTATTTGAAGTTTTAATAACGAGTTGCTTAATTCGGTTAGTAGAGTAATAAATCGATACTGAAGTGTGAACATTGCTTTTTATACTTAACTTGCAGGGACGCGCACGCTTTCGACTTTAGACATCGAAATAGTAGAACCTTTAACAAGTTGATTCGAGAATATTTAATTTCCGGGTCTCTGCTTGCAAGCAAAAATAAAGCTATTTTGATTAAAATTGATGCATGTAATCTAGAAAGGTCGATATTGCAGATGGGAAAAATCAGCCACTACCTCACCCATAAAATGGCGTTAATCTAGAAATTTAAAGAGTTAGGCTTCTATTTTTTACTTATAGTTATATCTTACACAACTAAATCAACCAAACTTGGTGAGATTTCTTACTAGACAAAGAACATATGTTACAGTATAAATATGAGCAACATCCAACTATAACCACAGCTGTTTACCATATAAAAAAATTTTAAATTCCATTCGATTCTTTCAAGACACCTCTCATCTCGAAATGAAAAAAGGTTTATAAATTTTCAAACCCTCAGATACCGATTGTGAGTACTCGAGTGATGTGATCAGTCACCTATGACTGATCTTATAGTGAAACTATATTAAAAATGTGAACTAATTCTAAAAATAGACAATATACATTTACTTGATATACGTTCGATTGACTTTGTAAAATATGTGGTACTATAGGCGTTAACCCGTCCATGTAGGCGTTAAATTATGTCGGGCCAACCATGATATACGACGTATATCGGCCAATATGTAAGAAATCTTTGCGTTATGCAATGCTTGCTATAGATATTTGATAAAAGCACAGGCCAAATATTATACACAATGGTAAGTGAAAAAGTTTTTTAACGTAATTTTACAGAAATGTATTTCAAAATAACTGGTAAATTTATTAAACTTTACATATGAAACGGGATCGAAAGTTGAGCAGAAAAGATACATTTTATAAAATACGATTATTAGTACAATCAAAAGCAAAAGTACATATTAGTAAAGGAATAGAGAAATAATTTCATGGGATATTACTAGTTTTACAATGAAGTTAATGTTCTGGGTGATGTTATTTGCTCAATAAGTAAATAGTTTTTTAATCTTTCATCACAAATTTGTACTTCCTATCACGTGCCAAATATAAAAATTGGGGGCAGTATTTTTTTAAACAAAATAGAGAAATACATGTATCAACTACCACCAGGCTATATAAACATACAACAAATGTAATAAATAACGTTTTCAATTTGTCCCGCATCACCATTGTTGGAAAATAAAAACTTCTAAGCACACTTCCGAAAGCAATAAATTCCCCAGTAATTGGACTATCATCAAATAATATGAGCAGTTACTTACGAAGAAAATGTAATACTTATTCATGGTAAAAAATGTGCTTGAATCATGGTAAATCAGTGGCGCATATTTAACTACGTTACTTCCGACCTGGAAGTAGGCTCATCATATACTTACACCCCATTTAAGCCGCTATGGAAAACAATTTTCACTGTCAACTGCTGTTTTGTAATATGAGTACTTTGTTCTACATATCCATTTACTTATTTATGTATATAGACATACGTGCTATGTATGCACTTTACACATGGAAGCACATTTCTTCATAGCCTCTACAGAATAATAACATTTGATCCTTTAATGTGGGTTCATAATAACTAATATACAAGTACATAACATAGTTATGAATACGTATGAATCGGTGTGTTATCTAATTTTGTTGTTGAAGTATTTGTTTTTATTAAAAAAGTAACTTAGGAAAGACTAATTTCGGTATTACAACGGTCTACAAAAATGACCAAAATCATTATATTACAAAGGTCATGACAATATATGCACAAATTCTCTATATCAGCGGTTTAACATCAAGCGTAAGTTTCTGGGTTTCTTTATGAGATAAGTTTTGATTTGATATTTTGATTAATTCCTCAGTTAACGATTGTAAAGTTAAATGAACTGATGGATTCTTGTCCGATTTAACTAATTTCGCTAAGAAATTGCAAAGATGCACGTGCTAGACGTACATATATTGTATTTTTTACGCATACGGCACCATTGTTGACGGAGTTTTTGGAGTTTCACTAGTTTTAGACCAAAATTTGTATATGAGAAATTTGTACGAGAAATGTTTTGTGTTTGATTTTTTGGTAAAATTTTTTTCAAAATTATAACACCACATTCGACAAAATCGTGAACATATTAAAATTAATGGTACTATTTGTGCAATTTTTTGTTTCGATAACGTCATTGACTCTCGATTTATATGAGGTAAAATGAAAGAATCAGATTGAATTTAAAATTGTTATATCGGGCTTTACAATAGGGATTATATGGTTTCTAGGTGTCGTTTCGGGCATTTTTAACATGTCATGATCTGTATTTTTTTTTCATAGAATTCAGTGATATTTACAACTTCATCATGGAAAGATATACGCAATAATAACGTTTACATGCTATTACAGTTTTTATTAAAATAATCTTTCTCCAACTGCAACTTTTCCAGCGCTTTTGCCATTTAATGGAATTGTTGAAAATTTCGAGCGTACATTTTCTTTACATAATGTTCAAGTGCCAATAAGACAAAGAACCGCTCGAAGTACTTTTTATGTTAATGAGTTGAAATGCGGGTGACCGTACGTTCGTGCAAGCGATAACTTTAATAAAAATTGAAATAGTGCTATGAAACTTGATACACTCTCCCCAAAAAGCGGGATAAATCAATAATTTAGTTCCCCAGATAAATTAAATTTTACACCCAGGATGATACAAGCCGCCTACATTTAGGTGAAATCACATATCTCCGGACCTACTCAAGCAATTCCATTACATTATTATAACACTAGCTTTTCCCTCGGCTTCATTAGCATTGAATCCTTTAAATAAATATGTATGTATCAACGATTATTAACAAAAACAAATAACTAAATACGTGTGTACATAAATACTATACCGCGATGATCATCTTTTTTTTGGTGGTGGTAACCAGAAAACCCCAATTTTGGCTGTTTTACGTTTTTAGTTCTTTTTGTTTCGTTACATTTTGAAATTTTTCGACATAAAATCATATCTGCCCAAGTACAATAATTTTTTTTCACTTTTCAAATTTATTTATATTCACATTTATAATATTAGTATGAATATCTATGTTACAGTATGAAAATGGGCGCAATCGGACTTCAACCACGCCTACTTCCCATATAACACAATTTTAAATTCCATATGATTCACTCACTTTCCAGTACACAAATCAAGCACCTATGAATAAATTCAGATAAGTCTTTGCACAAATAATGCGTTTGAAGTACGCCATCTCGAGTCTAAAAATTGTTAAAATCGGACCATAAATGTTCAAGTTCCCACATACCGAATATATGGACTTTTTTGTCGAAAACATCGGTGAATCTGTGAGATATAGTACTGAAATTCAGCGAAATAGCTTCTTTGATCATAATATACCCATGTGTCAAA